TTTTTAATACTTTCTATTATACGTGCCTTATTATTCTTATATAAAAATTTTATACATATACAAATTACATTAAAGTTTATTACATATTTCTAAGTGTGTATGTAATATATAAGCGTGTATATATAATAATTAATTAAATGGTTATTATAATTATGAATCTTTATTTTCTCATACAAAACAGTAAAAATTGTACACCTCTGAGTAGGTCATTTAATACTTCTATAGAATTTTACACACTCGAATTTATAACCTCTCAGCACACAAACCAAAAGTTGTGACATTACGCAATACGCTCAAGCTGATTGATCCCCCACCGCTCACTGTGAAAGAGAGAAACACAACTATGTCTGGAGTAGAGTAGAGTCCTAGATATCAGAGAAGCGCAACCGATGTTCCGCGTCCTGATTAGCTGACTGTCAGCCAATCATGATATTCATTCAGTGGTATTAAAAATGGCTGACTAATAGACGATTGGTGGATTTCATATTTCGTCTGCAAACGACGCCATTTTTAATAATTTTCTTAGTAATTTTGCGATACTGACTTAAGCCGGTTGCGCTTCTCTGATATCTAGGACTCTAGAGTAGAGCTGTCCTTCAATGTTGTCTTCAACTTCTCACGTATGAACGCTCCGTCTATCTTATAAGTCTATGGTACAATCATAGAGGGACTGAGGGAGCGGAACATATTGTATCCACGCATATTACTTCTACGTTAAAAGTGTAAAGCGAGGAGCACAGACTTTTGCATAACGCATAAAGCATGTGCATAAAGAATTTGATTGGTCCATTGACTCATGCATAAGAAAATGGGCCAATGAAATTCCTTATGCACATGCTTTATGCGTTATGCAAACGTCTGTGCTCCCCGCTTAAAGATCTCTTTGTAGCCTGATCTCTTTGTAATCAAACAAAGAATTGAATTTGATAAGGTTAAAGGTTTCCCAGTGCCAAGGGTTGCTCTTTCAATTCCTTATTCTTTCTTTCGATCCCCTCTCTCAGAATATATAGCTATACGCATGCGCGAAACGAGAGAGAACGAAAAGGCCCAAATGAGTGCGTTCTTTTCTAGATAGGATTACCCCCACTCCTACAATGAGTACTCTAGTACTACTATCTCTATGGTTCTGCCCCCCCTGTGGGGGGGGGCTCCACTATTGTTTTAAATTAAATTGTTTATTAAAGCAGTAAATTTGTATTTTTAAAGCAGTGTTTTTGTGTTTCTAAAGCAGTAATTTGTTATTTTTAAAGTAGTGACAGATATCTTAACCTCTAAAATCTCGAACTTTAACGCTTAATATTTCGGTTCACGAGGTCGAGCGCCACAAATTTCTTCCGGATTCTTTCATTTTGAGTGAAAACGCGTCGAATGAGCCTAATTAGATCAAAATCGGAGGTGAGGCCCGTATTCTATATAATTACCAAAATTTCAAAGGAATGCAACAAGCATAAAATAAGGAAAGAGAAGGAAGTAGAGAATAAAATGAAAAAATCAGGGAAAGAAACAGATAATAGTAAGCGCAAGCAGAATTTATGTTCTTATAGAATCGTCCCACCTTAACAATATATAATTACAGTTATTGAAGTCGTAAAAAAGCGCTTACCTGAATCATTGGGTGTATAGGCACTGGCATCGGGTGCACTAAATAGACAGATGGTTGTTGACTCTTAGCCGGCATATGATTCTGCGTGACAACCCACTGATGAACCATATTGCTCGTCTTCAGATGACCGTTGATCACCATCTCGTCGGTAGAATTCGCTCGCAGACAGCCACATAACTTCGGTGTCAAGGTCAGGCAGCTATAACTGGATACTAATAGTTCAGCCACGCTAGCCACCAATAGGCCAATGCTTGCTAACAAACCCGCCAAGCCGTTATCGATTTCCATTACATCGCTACCATCATCCTGAAATATACATTGATATTTTTAATTCACAATAATATTTATAATTATCTATAATAATGATTAGTTTAATTTAATAATTACCATTAAATATAAAGGTATATTTTAAAGATCCGAAATAACTTTTAACTGTATATTTATTTATCAAATACTATATCTTAATATACACCTTTAATTAATACTTTAATATGCAAAATAATAAGAATTGATTTATTATAAAAAAAATTAATAAAGTGTGGTGTTTTTTTTTTCAAAATGTCACATATTTGAACATAGAAATTAATCGAGAAATCATTATGAACATTGTACCGAAAAGCTGAGAAATGACACGTCCGGTGTCCTTTGTGAATCCCTGACGACCGCCGTTAATGCTGTTATAGTGGCCATGTTTGAAAGGGCAAGTGCGATTAAACTGGACGCAAGATGAGCGGACGAAAATGCAAAATTTGTTTTAGTGGACGAGGCCGCTAATGTTGCAACCACTCCAAGTGCACCGGCAACTAGGGCGGCTGCACCTGCCCAGAGTCCTGCACCAGATCCGCCCAAAGAAGCACCGTGGACGAGCACCAAGATACCAAAGACGACTAAGACAATACCTAATGGCAAAATTATATCATTCAATTATCGTCTTCTTCATGCACTTTTGAGAAATTAATTAAGGTACGGTTTATAATATAATATGTATATGTATGTATAACAATAATATAAAACTATAACAAAATTTGTCAAACAATATCTAATCTTATTGGACCGTAATAGTTTTAAATTAAATACCGATGAGAATATGCCGTAACGGTCTAGAATCTACATACGTAGTATATAAATTCACATGAAATTATATTAGAAGCATCCAAGATCCAGCTTGACCGTTACAACATGTTCTCATCGGTATTTAGTTTAAAATTTGTCAAATTAAAATAACTATTGTACATTATTTCGTAAAAAAAATCGATATTAATAACACAGGACCATAAAAAAAAATTGATGAAAGGTTCATTTGACCAGACCAAGTTTTTTGTACGTTTTTGGGGTCGCTGAACACGAATCTGAAGTCCGTTTTCCTCCATCACGTCAGGAGTTTTTCCTAACCTCAAAAAACATGGCGGATTTCATGTGACCGGAAAACTTTTTTAAATAACGACGGATTTGCTTGAAACTTGGTATTTGGGGGTTTTTGGGGTTGCTGATTACGAATATGAAGTCAGATTTTCAAAATCCAAAATGGCGGATCCAATATGGCGGACGAGTTTTTTGAAAATTGTGCAATTTTCATGAAACTTGGTATTTGGGAGTTTTTGGGGTCGCTAATTACGAATATGAAGTCAGATTTTGAAAATAAATATCCAATATGAGATCGAGATGTCCTTTATTTAGTAATTAAGGAAAGCCCCCTATTATGAGATAGGCGCTTAACATGAGATAGCGGCGTTTCTGCTAAACCAATAAATGCTATCTGTTGATTCTATCATGAAATTATTGCTCTTGGATTGAAAACTATTTAGTGGAAAATTTATTGTTAGATTATATCTACAGTAATTGTAAAATAAAATTTTAGAGTTTGAATGTTTTCAAGTTTCATTGAGATAAGCCTTTAATCTTTGTTTATTATTTAATAAGTAATTATTTGGCAATAAATTCTTCATGTAGTAATAGAGTAAGATCGTACTGATAGAAAAATACGAAATATGTTGAATTGTTTAATTAAAGAAATTAGATTTGATAATCGTAAAATTGTAAGACGTGATACTCGTAATATGAGATACCCAGGATATTTCTAATATGAAATAATTTATACTTCTGTGCCCAAGTGAAAATCGATGTTTAAAGTATAAATGTTATTGTACAATAATAAAAAGAATAACCGGAATGAACATTGAGGGTCTGTTTCTGCAATACTTCATTCCAATTACTACTGTAGACAAATCCTGAATACAATGCATCACATGCTCAATTTACGCGCATAGGCTGTACTCGTTGATATGTTAGAAACATCAAATAAAGTTTTTTTAATTCTAATACTGATGTACTTTGTGCTTTATTATCGATTTCTCGGGATATCTCATACTAGGAGCACAATTTTTCGACTTTGCGATTTGTTCACCTTTTACATTTCTTTAATTAAAAAATAAAATAAAATTTAAATTAAATTTTACATAACACTATCTTAAAGCTTATTAAATTCTCTTCAAAATGACCTATTATTTTTTTTAATTCTACCAATAAACATTTAGTAATTACACAAAATGAACTCGGTATCTCATAATAGGGGCCTCTCCTATACCTATATTCATAGGACATCTCGATCTCATATTGGATATTTATTTTCAAAATCTGACTTCATATTCGTAATCAGCAACCCCAAAAACTCCCAAATACCAAGTTTCATGAAAATTGCACAATTTTCAAAAAACTCGTCCGCCATATTGGATCCGCCATTTTGGATTTTGAAAATCTGACTTCATATTCGTAATCAGCAACCCCAAAAACCCCCAAATACCAAGTTTCAAGCAAATCCGTCGTTATTTAAAAAAGTTTTCCGGTCACATGAAATCCGCCATGTTTTTTGAGGTTAGGAAAAACTCCTGACGTGATGGAGGAAAACGGACTTCAGATTCGTGTTCAGCAACCCCAAAAACGTACAAAAAACCTGGTCTGGTCAAATCTTAGAACATATATGTTCTAAGGGTCAAATGAACCTTTCATCAATTTTTTTTTGTGGTCCTGAGTAATATTAGCGTGATAATCAAAATAGAATTATCTCGGAAAGCTCTCTTGCCAAGACTTACCAAGCAGCAATTGTCCACAGGACGTAAACATCAGCATATTTGAGTCGTCCTTGGCTTTGGAAGCTGCCCGCAAATCTTGCTGATTCTTCGAGCGCTTTGAGAACTGATGCTGTTCCTGCAGCTGCTGCTTTTCTGGGATAAGGACATCTTTCGAGTATTTTGATTCTAGATAACTGTCTGGTTTCAGTTCCGAATTCACCGAATCCTTCGATTCTTTCGAACGACTCGAATTTTTACTTCTCACTGTGGAATCAAGCGCCATGGTCGCTGCGTCTTCCATAATTTTCCATCAAGCAAATCAATCGTACATCACTGATTTTTATAACAATGTCATGTTCTTCTGAATTGTTACTCTTGGTTAAAATAATTTTTATCATTGAGCGGTGCTATTTGCCCACAACGTTATTTAAAACTTAAAATGATGGTCCAAAATGCAGTAAGGCCTCAATTGCTGCGATTTAATCGTTTTTTAATTGATTTGAAAAATTTTCATGTGTTGTTTCGAGCACAGCCTTTTGTAAATCACAGCCTATTTTTACATATATGAATTATTTTTATTATATACATAGAGTGCTGCGATTTAAATCGATTAGAAATTGTTTTTATAGAATCTTATTAATTACATTTTATTCATATATATAGTCTCCTAAATTTATTCAACCTTATGGCTCCTGAATACCGGCGACGGCCATGTTGGAATTGTGACGTCATAGACGAGAAAAACACATTAATTTTTCTTGCGTCCCATTTTTTAATAAAGACAATTTGGATAAATTTAAGAGGCGAGATCGCACAAAAACACTTGTAAAAATTGCCGGAAACTGTCCTTTCCTCTTCTGATAATCAGTAAATGGTCGTAAAAGACACGTAAAGTGAGCCTATTTTCGGGCAGAATCACACAGTTTAACAGCTGATGAAACGAGTGAAATATACGCTTTTATGTATAAAATTTCACGATAACTGCAGTTTCCGGCAATTTTTAGGACTTTCACGAGTACGAGGGAAGTCACATTTTCACAAATAAACAAATATTGACGAAATGGCACGCAAGAAAAATTTTGTCGTCAAAACATCACTTTTTCACGCCTATTAGTTCAGACTTTTACCATGGCGAGGCGCTATACACACACACAAGCATGAACCCATGTCTGTGTGCTCCCCTTCTACCCAAAAATGAGCACACGGACATGAGCTTGCAATTGTGTGTATAACCAGTAACGTACTACCAGTTTTGCTAGCCACCGACTAATTCGGTGTCGCTACCCATCAACACGGAGTTCTTGGCTGAGTATTCAGGAGCCTTATGTATCTTAGCATATATAGCGATATATTTATTTTATATACAGACAAAAATAAAGAAAAATTTAATTATTATAGATGTAGATTATTATCGTTGATAAATGTGCCTTGTATTTTTTAAATATTTTTGAAAATCATGTAAAATCATAAAATATTAACAAAGCATTTTATCTCATTTAGATTGTATTATATACTTTTGTACATGTTATACAAGTTGATAATTGTTGGATTAGTACGCATATATTACAATTACGTCAAACCCGAAGTAAATTGTTGAACGTTGTAATCGCTGATAAGACTGGCAACATACTCAGGATCCGAATTATCTGAAAATAAAACAAAAATAACGTTAAATGAAACAAACAATGAGACAAATATAATATAACATCACAAAGAAATGTCACATCATTTTATGATATATACATAATGTTTACTTAATTTAACCACTTGAAATTTCTTATCATTTCTAAAACTGTAAAACTTTTGCTGAAGTTTTCTCATAAAATTCTTTTTTTTCAGAATTATACAGGTGTAGCTTAAAATGTTTATTTTAACACTCTACGTATGTATACGCATGCATATGCAATATAATGTGATATTATTGCGTATTATGTGATAAGAAACAAATGAAAATGAAAAGAAATACAATAAATAACATAAGAATATCTCTAATAATTAGTAATCCTTCAAAATATACAATACATAACAAATTTAAATTTTAAATAATGATATGTATAATAATTAAAGTAATCGATGTTATGTTAAATTGTGTATATACGTATATAAGTATATCTATCTCAATTTCAATTATATTAAAATGTAATTAATTTATAGCGAATAAAATCTAGGGCAATTTCTGACAATTAATTTGGACCGATTTAACGGCACTGACTCTCATTAGCTTTTTTATTTATTTATGTTTGTATTTTAAGTTTTGAAAGTCCGTTTTAATTATTATTATTGCTTTTATTATCTAATTTATATTTTTGAAAAAAAGATGTTTGAGTTGAACGGATCTGTCAATCGTTAAAATTTAAGATATTGGGCTGACAATAATCTCCGTTGGATGAGAGATTGTCACACTCAATATCCCCAAAAACTAAATGTTTGGACTGGAATAATAGGTCATCGTATTGTAGGTCCGTTTTTTAACGAAGGGAATATAAATGCATACAATTACGTGCACTTACTAAGAACCGAAGTCGTGCCATGTATTCGAAACATTACAGGAAATGTTTTTAAAAATATTTGGTTTCAGCAGGGTGGAGTCCCAGCTCATTTTGCCATTAATGACTCGTAACTTTCTCAATGAAACATTTCCTAATAAATGGATTAGTAGAAGAGGTCAAATCGAGAGGCCACCTAGATCACCAGATCTAACCCCTTGACTATTTTTATTGGGGATATTTGAAGAGCAAAGTATACGAAACAAAACCGGCAACCATTAATGAAATACGAGCAAGAATATTAAACGTTTCAAATTCAATTTGACAGGAAATGCTAGAAAATGTACTGCAAAGTATCTACATCCGATTGGCACATTATCAAGCAGTAAACGGATAACAATTTGAACATTTAATTCATTAATTTTTTAATTATGTCTAACACACACACCCACGCACGCACGCACTCACACAAGGACTCACTTTGATCAAGCGTCTCGAAAAGGTGGATATCCGACCGTGCCACCTCCACGGGGTGCACCTTAGATAACGCGTCGGCGATACTTATTTTGAAGTTCGTAACTCAGGTAGATATCAAGCAAAAAGGGTTTGTAATCAATATTTCGCAAACGTCTTGACATCAGCTTTAAGAATATGTAATAGAAAATAGAAGTTTCCGTTTAAGATTTCAAAGTTGACCTTCACAGTGTCCTTCAAGGTCACATGAAAGTCATTTCAATATAACCATATAATAGATCACTTGATATACTAAAACTTTTGTATTAAACATTTGTTCCATAATCATTATTTTCCAAGATATTTGACCGTTACGGAACATAATCTAATTGAAAGGGTCTCGTAATTCAAAGTCATATTATGCGTAAACGGTTAAAATTACGAAAATTATGCACAGGATCTTCTGTGTAGATAATTTCATGTGCTTTATTTTTTATTAAACATTTTTTTTCTAAAATTGATATTTTCCGAGATATACGCAAAAAAGCGAAGTTTTGCAGTATTTTCAAAATGGCGACCAAAATATGGCCAAGTGTTAAATTTTATTATCAGATTCGTTTTCAGCAACCAAAAATACATGAAAAAATTTGCTGCCATTAATTTTCCAGGTCATGTAGTTCTTCTGAAAGTCTACCATCATTTTTTTCCGCTCGACTTTGTTCATTCTGGCAGCCATCTTGAATGTGCCATTTTGATTTTCCGAAAAGGCCACATTTTTTCTTAAAGTAGACATCTCAACAATTTAAGCTCAAAATTTGTAAGCCCCTCTGAATTTTGAACAGGAGAGATGGGATTTTGATATAGAATGCCCCGTACTTATTTTAAAATATTAAAACAATTTTGCTATAAATTTTATTTGTTTACTTTTATACATATGTATAAAAATCTAATTTATGAAAAATATTATATTTTTATTCATAACAGGACTATTTTGAACTTTTTTCTATTCAATGAGAATAGGTGAGAATGAGTGACATACGACAGATTATTATTTCAAATTTATATGAGATTTATTTGTACATATGGAGAAAGGCATCAATCGATATATAAATGAAACAATTTGCAATCTCAAAATAATTATTATAATCGTATAAATAGTTAAACTAGAATTTCCAATTTTATGATGCTATCATCAGATTCATTTGTAGAATATTATAACTTTCAAATTAATTACACTCTTTAAATTCATTTATAAGATTAGTTAAATATAGAACTTTAAATTTGAAATTAGAAAAACAGAACGACTCTCACTTATTACAAATTACGTATTTCGCTAATTGTTAAAAAAATCATTAAATTTAGAGAGTATAAAATATATATTATATCTCTCTCTCTCTAGGATTCTAATAATAATAAATACAAAATTCTTGAAAAAGTAGCAGAATCATAAATATTTAATTTACAATATATACATAAATTTTCCAAAATCTATTATGCAAATAAAATATATGAAAAATATTTAAAAAATTTAAACTGATTACACACGTACATTCTAATTATTTCAGTATATTCTATAGATTTCAATATATATTTACTTATTTCCATAAATTGAAAACATCGATACATGAGTAATGTAAATTGAGAAATTATACATGTATATAATCGTAAACGCTGATTATATTTAAAATAGTGAACATTCTAGCCTCGAGTCTTCCACTTCTCGCACTCGTGAATAAACATACGTAACGGACCGTTCTTAAGGCTGCGAGGCATTTCTCGAAGCGTTTCGAGGGCTTGACGGAGATCATTATTACATTCACCGGAACGCTCTGGTCAACGCTCCGCGGAATCTTTACACTTCGCAATGCTTTTCAGTTCTGTTTTCCGCTTTCTATAAGACCAGAAAGAGCGTTTACTTCTTTTTGCAAATCAAACAGAGATTTATACTGATATCTCGAAAAGAGTTCCTGCATTCTACGTCGCGCCATTTAAATTACACCTAACTAAACAGTTTGAAAATAGTAAATCTCTTGAAAAATATGTCTTATCGAATGAAAGCTGCTTTTGATTTCGAAAAGAATCTTGATGAACAGCATATCTTGATAACAGCATTTTGTTCGAAATATAGAATCATGTCTGAAATTTAGAGGTTATTTCCATTTTTCAGAATAAAAATATATAATATATAATTATTTTTAATTTACAAATAAAAATATAAAAATGAGATCATTAAAAAGTAAATACTTTGCTAAAATATTCTGTGTATATGTGATAATCTGACACTTAATATATTATTATATTCAAAATTTTTAAAACATGATCTGCTATGAGAGATGAGTATAAATATGTATAAAATAATACCTTGTAAAAATATACGCTTTTTGGACATTTCGTAATATCACATTTTTACATATATACAAAACAATAAAGGAAAGTGATTAATTGTCGAACCGTTTCTGTAAATATGTTATAGTTTCTTCTTTACATCAATATATAGTACAGTGCAGATGTGAACAAATTCTTGCAACTGTTAAATCATCAATTATTGTGCATTTATTTGCTTATCGATACAGAAATGTAAAAAAAATGAAAAATACAAAATAAAATAAAATATAAGCTGTAATATAAAGATGAAGTAATTTTTGCAAGCGAAACTCACCGATTCAAATTCTCGCTCACATATAAATTACAATTGTAATTTGTACAATTGTGTAACTATCTTTTGCAATTTATATGATTATAATATCAGAAAGTACATAAATACAGCTAAACGCACGTGTGTGTGTGCGTGCGTGCGTGCGTGCGTGCGTGCGTGCGTGCGTGCGTGCGTGCGTGCATGTGGATGCGTGCGTGTGTGCAAGAATCTTTGTTATACATTCATATTTTTCGGTTAAAGGTCCGCCATTTACAAGAGCGGCCGCGAATGAACACACACACACACACACACATATTATAAAATAAATGTTATTAGTATAATACAAATTTATATTTCAAAATATCTACACACACACACACACACACACACACACACACACACACACACACACATATATATATCAATATGTTACCATTCTCATTTTTTTCGACTTACATGATTCAGGCATCACACCGATCGAAAATATGAAATATCTCGTGAAATATTCTTATGAGCAAATTTTTTTAATGATTTTCAAACATTTAACAATAGTCGCAAGTCGCGAATCTAAGACTGATCTGTTGAGCGTTCGATCAGCAACTGGAGGCATACGTCGAAAAGTATATACAGGTAGATTACAGGTATGCTGCTCCTATGTGCTCACTTCGACGTCTTTCCATTTCTTTCTCTTTCTCCCCTCTATTTCTCTGGCTCTGAACTTCCTTCTCTCGCTCTTACTTGCCTGCTCTTTCTCTTTCTACCTTCCTTTCCGCGCCGCGGTACGTTGGAATTTGCAGAATTGATCGCGAGAGATCGAACGCATACCTCTCTTCGTCAGTGAAAAATGTATTAATTTTATAGGTACAACCGTATACAAGTTACACAATTATAACGTATTCAGGTTTAGAACAGAAATTAATGGCATTTTTGCTCAGTACTTTTTTACAGAATTAAAATTGTTCAGCAACTTGCAGTTCTTTTTATTAGATAAAACAATAATTGGCCGTTGCTATTGATAGTATAATTGAAAATTTTTTGGTGTTATATACAAAAAAAATAATTAAACAATGAT